GTAATTTATTAAAAGAAGGTACACCGCCATCTTGTGCCGACTAAACTGACTTGAACGCACCTGACGTCGTAATCACGACTTGTCAACTCGTAAGTACGAACGACCCAGGAGGACTTGAACGCAGCAATAGCCCCTTTTAAACCAACCCATGAGCGCGCAATTATCTCAGATAACTCGATCCAGCCAGACTAATCTTCAACGACAGCTGCGTTCGAAGAACCGAATTAGCCAGATCCTGATTAGCACGATCATATCATCCTGGATGTGACGTTTCATCTCGGATGTAATAAGCGATGTACGAAGAACGGGCCCCAGGTAAGTTACACTGGTCTGCTGCGTCCTTTGTCGGATTACAACTTTAACTGCAGGAATTGGCTTGGAGCTTACTTGAATAATGTAATGATACATATGAAAAACTACAAAATACACACACACAGCAGTTCAAATGCTGATTGATATCTTACAAAGGAGCGATTTTATATAGTTTATTGTCTTGAGCATGGTGATCATATGTAGACAGGTTAGCATAAATAAAACTGTGAATAAATAGAGCATAGTGCAGCTCAATGTTCAGCGGCAGCGGTCACAGCTTAACAGTGCTCCGTATGACTGCTCCGAGCCTCTGATATAGTTAGCAACAATGTGTTCATATTCTGACAATAAATGTTGATACTTTCAGTTTCAAAATAATCAGAGCTGGACTGTGAGGAAGTACATTCGTTAACTCGTACAAATATGAAGTACTACGTTTTCTTTTCTTTCCTCACAGACAGCAACACTACAAAAATATGGTGTTTTACAACATGATGCATTGTTGTAGATTAAACTACCCAACAGTATATTTAGTAGGCCACTTTAAATTTAATAACCTTGAACATATTCAGAAGTAAAATGCAACATGCACATCAGTACAGCAGTAATATTAATGCAAAACCATCCTGACTCATTATTTTTCATAACAATAGTGTATACCTTTACCTTTACTCTCAATGCCTTAAGTATATTAGAGTATGCAAGATAATACTTTTACTTAAAGCATAGTTCAGCCAAAAATGCAAATTCTGTAATCATTTACTCACCCTCAAGTTGTTCCAGGTTTGGGTGAACTATCCCTTTAGCTAAGGTTATAAATATGACTAGTAGCTTGTCCCCAATGTGGTATCAGTAGTTACTAAAAGTAGTTTACTAAAGTACCTCAATATTTCTTCTACTAATTACGTTGTCATAGCTCTAAACAGTTTCTCTTTTCCTTGTCTCTCTAAATCAGAGCAGAGCCATGTACTGCAGGATAAAGCTGCATGTGCCAGCGATGGACAGGTTTTTAATGGTTTTGGGCTGAGCAGGGAGGCCCTGACAGTGCTGCTGGATCTTCTGAGAAGTGCCACGATCCAGACCCTGGTGAATCAGCTGTTCAAACGAATCAATTGAATGAATGATTCAGTGATAAAATCAGTGACTTGCCGCCACCTGCTGGCGGATTTAGTTTCATTTTTAGCGTATCATTTCAATTATTTAAATCATTTAATATTTCTGTGTGGGTGAGTGATTCATGACAGAACTTTCACTTTTGGGTGAACTGTCTCTTTAAACAGGGAAGTAACCGAATCAGTGATGCCAACTTCATCAAAGATTACCTGAGATCAGTTCTGAAGATGCAGTCAGGAAGAGATTACGACTGACGCTTGCACTTCTTGACATGGTTTGTTTCTGGTGAGAGCCGCTCCGTTTGTTCTGAAACATAGGAGCCGATCCTGATAACAGGAGCACTGTGCTCAGCGAGGAAAACACGGAACAAGCAGGACGTTTTCTTCATGTTTCACAGATAAATCAGCGGTCAGCCTTCATTTCTGTAGAGAGATGTTCAGGAGATTCACAGCATGAGCCCTGAACCGTCATCACCGTGAGATAGATTCAGCTCAAACCGGACTGCTTCCATCACTTGTGCATCAGATGAGTGAGATCTGAAGAATCAACATGTGTACCATTGTTGCAGTGCATCTGTGACTGGTTAAACGTGGCTGCTCCATACGGACGTGTTTCTGATTGGTGATCAGCAATGCAGTGACCTGAGCCCCTCTGGTGAGGAAGCATGGCTATAACACAGCTGTAGCGCCTCATAGTGGACAACTGTGTCCTTACACTGGACACCCAGAGTTAGAGTCGCACAGCAAAATTGCCAGAGTTAATTCAACTCTATGAGAGTTAATCTGAACACTTCACTGGTGTATATATAATCCACACTGGCCCGAGTTAAATTAACACTTTCAAAAGTGTTAATAAAGTAACACTGACTCAAAAGTTAAACATTTCATTCTTACCTATCATTAATTATTCACAAACTTTATATATACACAATACGCACTGTTCTAATCATACATTATAAAACGATTAAAAACTTAATTATTTTAGGTCCAGAGTTAAATAATTGCATAAATAACCCAATACAAAACAACAACACACTTTCACATTTCATTTGTAATTAATGAAACACTGAATGCAATGCATTTTGATGTGGGGAAAGCTTGTCCATGTACATGTTTTAAAAAATTAATAATCAAAACAATGGAAAGGCACAGCATATGTATCCTGATTTGGTCCATATGCATTTTGAATGTTATAGGGTTTATAATGCTTAAGATCATCAGCTTTCACAACAGCTTCAAACTCATTTCCATCAACAACTCTGAATGCATAACAGTGCTCACTGAAGAACTCTGTAACAAGTTTGTCAACCACAAAATAAGCATTTTCACCCAACACAAGAATCTTGGTAATTGTACAGAATACTGGCAGCTCATGCTTCATCTCTGTGCATATGGCAAGCCAGTTTTAGTCTTTTAAAAACATTTTACAGGTAATAAAATAGACCTAAAAAATGAAACGCTTGGTAATCTTATAATCACATTTTTCAGACTATACATTGTTTGTCTTTTGAAACAAACTGCAACATATATTCCAAAGCGTTGTTGTTTTGTCAGTGTTGTCCAATGCAACCCTGAACACTCAACATAGAGTACACAAATGCATGCCCCCTTCAGAATATAATATTATGGCAAAGGTGTTTGCAACATAAGACAGATGTTTGCTTTTGAGATGTGTTTGTGATATTTTGAATGCAGTGCTTCATGTTGCAAGAGATGTGAGGCATTTTGCATTTTGTGTGCAGTTCTTGGATTTGTGTGTGAAGTTTTGAGAAGAAAAAAGAGGCAAGGTTTTGAAAATGTGTGCAAGCAGTTGAAAACAAAACCTGTAAAACCACAACCACAGGAAAAGGACCTGTGCTTTTAAATGTGCTTTATAAATCACTAAACTAAACTAAACTACTGCATATCTGGGCCCGTATTCACAAAACATCTTCAGGCTAAAAGTAGCGCATAACTCGCCAATTTAGAAGAAAATCTTAAAAATAATGAGTCCTAAATGTAGGACTCCTAAATGTTTGCTCTAAGAGTATTTCACAAAGCGTTTTAGCTCTAAAACTAGCTCCTAAATCTGTGAAAGGTTAGGAGCAGTGAAGAGGACTCCTAAGTCACTGAGACCAAGCCACAAACTATCCTGAAACAGCTGTTTCCAGCAATCTGCCTCTGAATGTAAACAAACGTTTGATTATAATGAGCTTTTATAAAGGTATCGCCTTTGGTTTTGGAGGTTATCCCAACTCCAGATTTTCCTTTGATCATATCCTTGTTTTCATTCACAAACCATTTGATCTTACCACTAAGAGTTCTCCTAAATAGCAGTAAAAGTTTTTAGCTAAGAGTTTTCTCTTGAAACCTGTTCATAAAGCTGCTGAGACTAACTTGTACTAAGGAATAGAGAGAACTCTTAAAGGGTTAGTTCATCCAAAAATGAAAATTAGCCGTTGTTTTACTCACCCTCGTTAATTCACAACTACATGTCTACTAACTCTCAGAGTAGACTGTTAGGTTAGGGTTAGGGTTAGTACAATAAGTTGACAAATACTTGCTTTGCTTCTAATAGTCAGTATGTTGTATGTTGTGGACCCATCAAAGTAAAACATTAGAAGGTATTAAGCAGACAGTCTACTAATACTCTAATGACTGCTAGTTGACATGTAGCTGCAAAGTTACTTACTGTTAGTAGAATGTCTGAAGTGGACGATCAAAATAAAGTGTTACCACAGTGCAGTCGTGTTGCTGTCTATGGGAGGGTCAGAGAGCTGTCAGAATTCATCAACAATATCTTCATTTGTGTTCTGAAGATGAACGGAGGTCTTACGGGTGTGGAACGACACGAGGGTGAGTAATTAATGACAGAACTTTCATTTTTGGGTGAACAATCCCTTTAATATTTTGGCTTTCATCACTATTTATGTTTGTCTTTCTGCTGGGATAATGTTAACAAAAATAAAAATATGAGGCGAGAGGTTTCTGTTTAGTGCTTTATTTGACACAGAGTGACCCCATAGATTGTGTGTGTGTGTGTGTGTGTGAGAGTGTGTGTTGTGGGCTAAGTCTCGAGTGTGTGTCAAATATTTACAGCAGCAGCCTGTTGAACTGCGAAGGACGGAGAAAACCCGTCAGACAGACAGACAGAGAGACAGACATGATCTAGTGATGGAAGATGAAACGCTCAATATTTCCATGTTAGAGTGTCTCTGGTTTCTATTTCTCAGTGTGTGTCCTTCATGAGCTGCTTCAGTTGTTTTTCAAAAAGCCTGAGGAGGAGAAGCTCATGTCTCGTGTGCTTTGGGTGTTGAGCAATAGTTTGTCTGGTCAGCCTGTTTAACCACACTCAAGTTAACCGCTTCACCACCTTAACCAGCAAAACCAGTGCATTTGAGCAGCTGGAGTGCAGAAGCAGAGGCCTCTCTCAGCTCACAGCTGTCTGTCTGTCTGTGTACTCTCTCTGTCTGACTTCAGATGCGCCACAAACACGCTCCCGCACCTGTGAAGTCATCCGTCTGAGTGTGTGTGTGTGAGTTAATGGTGTGACGGTGGAAAGAGCTCGGGGTGGAGGGTGTGAAGTGTTTATAAGAGCTGGAGAATCATGAAAAACAACCAGAGATTGAAGCAGAAGATCCACGGACAGAGTCAGCTCTTCAGGTGCGTCAGATCCATCGGCCAGCTTTACATAAGACCAGCAGATGCCTGTGTGTGTGTGTGTGTGTGTGTCTGTGAGAAAGAGAGAAATGTGTGTGTGTGTGTGTGAGTGTGTGTGAGTGTGTGTGAGTGTGTGAGTGTGTGTATGAGTGTGTGTGTGCGTGTGTGTCTGTGTATAAGTGTGTGTGAGTGTGTGAGTGTGTGTATGAGTGTGTGTGTGCGTGTGTGTCTGTGTATAAGTGTGTGTGAGTGTGTGAGTGTGTGTATGAGTGTGTGTGTGCGTGTGTGTCTGTGTATAAGTGTGTGTGAGTGTGTGAGTGTGTGTATGAGTGTGTGTGTGCGTGTGTGTCTGTGTATAAGTGTGTGTGAGTGTGTGAGTGTGTGTATGAGTGTGTGTGTGCGTGTGTGTCTGTGTATAAGTGTGTGTGAGTGTGTGAGTGTGTGTATGAGTGTGTGTGTGCGTGTGTGTCTGTGTATAAGTGTGTGTGTGTCTGTGTGTGTGTGTGTGTAAATGTGTGTCAGTCTCGGTGTCTTTCATGTTGTTTTGTGTGTTTCAGACGGATCTGCTGCAGTCATGAGTGTCGCTCTTCACTGTGTGTTTCTCTGTGTTTCTCTGGCGCTCGGTGCTTGTTATGGTGTGTATGAAGCTCTCAGCAGACTCTCTCACACACACACACACACACACACACACACACACTAACAGACATCTCTCTCTCCCTGCAGATTCTCAGGAGAGCCGCGAGTCATACGAGGGTAAATGTTCATGATTCTCTTCTGTCTCTGTTTGCTTCGGCTCCGTGCAGCACGTCTGTGTTTATATGAAGCTGAAGAACCGCTGCTGGACTTCTGTGTCTAAAATCAGCTCAAGATCAATGCTGTGATGAGACAGTGTGATGAAAAGCTGCATTCATTTGACATAGACATTTGTTTATCCCATATTACTGTGCTGTACAGTTGCTTTGACACAATCTGTATTGTTAAAAGCGCTATATAAATAAAGGTGACTTGACTTGACTGTGTCTTATGTCAAACAAACATCTGTTTTGTTTCAGTATTTGTGAATCCATATCAGGCGAATGCTTTCATGAGGAGTCCACAAGATCGCTTCTACAACCAGTACATCTACAGGAGGTACAACACACACACACACACACACACACACACACACTCACACACACTCACACACACACTCACTCACACACACTCACACACACACTCACTCACACACACTCACACACACACTCACTCACACACACTCACACACACACTCACTCACACACACTCACACACACACTCACTCACACACACTCACACACACACTCACTCACACACACTCACACACACACTCACTCACACACACTCACACACACACTCACTCACACACACTCACACACACACTCACTCACACACACTCACACACACACTCACTCACACACACTCACACACACACTCACTCACACACACTCACACACACACTCACTCACACACACTCACACACACACTCACTCACACACACTCACACACACACTCACTCACACACACTCACACACACACTCACTCACACACACTCACACACACACTCACTCACACACACTCACACACACACTCACTCACACACACTCACACACACACTCACTCACACACACTCACACACACACTCACTCACACACACTCACACACACACTCACTCACACACACTCACACACACACTCACTCACACACACTCACACACACACTCACTCACACACACTCACACACACACTCACTCACACACACTCACACACACACTCACTCACACACACTCACACACACACTCACTCACACACACTCACACACACACTCACTCACACACACTCACACACACACTCACTCACACACACTCACACACACACTCACTCACACACACTCACACACACACTCACTCACACACACTCACACACACACTCACTCACACACACTCACACACACACTCACTCACACACACTCACACACACACTCACTCACACACACTCACACACACACTCACTCACACACACTCACACACACACTCACTCACACACACTCACACACACACTCACTCACACACACTCACACACACACTCACTCACACACACTCACACACACACTCACTCACACACACTCACACACACACTCACTCACACACACTCACACACACACTCACTCACACACACTCACACACACACTCACTCACACACACTCACACACACACTCACTCACACACACTCACACACACACTCACTCACACACACTCACACACACACTCACTCACACACACTCACACACACACTCACTCACACACACTCACACACACACTCACTCACACACACTCACACACACACTCACTCACACACACTCACACACACACTCACTCACACACACTCACACACACACTCACTCACACACACTCACACACACACTCACTCACACACACTCACACACACACTCACTCACACACACTCACACACACACTCACTCACACACACTCACACACACACTCACTCACACACACTCACACACACACTCACTCACACACACTCACACACACACTCACTCACACACACTCACACACACACTCACTCACACACACTCACACACACACTCACTCACACACACTCACACACACACTCACTCACACACACTCACACACACACTCACTCACACACACTCACACACACACTCACTCACACACACTCACACACACACTCACTCACACACACTCACACACACACTCACTCACACACACTCACACACACACTCACTCACACACACTCACACACACACTCACTCACACACACTCACACACACACTCACTCACACACACTCACACACACACTCACTCACACACACTCACACACACACTCACTCACACACACTCACACACACACTCACTCACACACACTCACACACACACTCACTCACACACACTCACACACACACTCACTCACACACACTCACACACACACTCACTCACACACACTCACACACACACTCACTCACACACACTCACACACACACTCACTCACACACACTCACACACACACTCACTCACACACACTCACACACACACTCACTCACACACACTCACACACACACTCACTCACACACACTCACACACACACTCACTCACACACACTCACACACACACTCACTCACACACACTCACACACACACTCACTCACACACACTCACACACACACTCACTCACACACACTCACACACACACTCACTCACACACACTCACACACACACTCACTCACACACACTCACACACACACTCACTCACACACACTCACACACACACTCACTCACACACACTCACACACACACTCACTCACACACACTCACACACACACTCACTCACACACACTCACACACACACTCACTCACACACACTCACACACACACTCACTCACACACACTCACACACACACTCACTCACACACACTCACACACACACTCACTCACACACACTCACACACACACTCACTCACACACACTCACACACACACTCACTCACACACACTCACACACACACTCACTCACACACACTCACACACACACTCACTCACACACACTCACACACACACTCACTCACACACACTCACACACACACTCACTCACACACACTCACACACACACTCACTCACACACACTCACACACACACTCACTCACACACACTCACACACACACTCACTCACACACACTCACACACACACTCACTCACACACACTCACACACACACTCACTCACACACACTCACACACACACTCACTCACACACACTCACACACACACTCACTCACACACACTCACACACACACTCACTCACACACACTCACACACACACTCACTCACACACACTCACACACACACTCACTCACACACACTCACACACACACTCACTCACACACACTCACACACACACTCACTCACACACACTCACACACACACTCACTCACACACACTCACACACACACTCACTCACACACACTCACACACACACTCACTCACACACACTCACACACACACTCACTCACACACACTCACACACACACTCACTCACACACACTCACACACACACTCACTCACACACACTCACACACACACTCACTCACACACACTCACACACACACTCACTCACACACACTCACACACTCAAACGCACACACAAACTCTCTCTCTCTCTCTCTCACACACACAGACACACACACACACACACACATTCACACACACACACACACACACACACACACAGACACGCACACCTGTCTAAATGAGGACATTCCACAGGTATGTGTTTTTATATACAGCTAGTTATAAATACTAACACCAAATCCTCATAGAACACTGACTTCGTTGTTAGATTTAAAACAAAAATATTTTAAAAACATTTACTTCATTTATATATTGGTTTTACAAATAAGTGTGTCCTCAAATGGAGGTTTTGTCAAATTTAGCTGACTTCATGGGACCAAATATACATATTTTGACATAAAAGTTGACAAATGTGATTTTTTTTTTTTACTTTATTTTGGACCTGATTTAGTATTGATTATGAAAAGCAGCTGATGTTTTCAGAACATAGCAGTTTGTCTGTGAGGACATAAGCCACCTCGTATTACAGATTTTTAAAATGGCTTAGACATTAACAGTGGTACTTGAGGCCCATTCAGTGAAACCATTCACTCATATACTTAATCTTTAGTCCATTACTTACTTTAAACTCAGTTAGATAATGTAAAACTAACTTCTTAAAGTTCTCTACATTACACACATCACTCAAATCTAAGAGCTCTTTCGTATCATTTGGGAAACACTGTCATTTAAACACTCATTTAACTGATGAGCTACAGCTTTGTTCACATATTTTTACCCCCTTGCATTCCTGTTTACAGTGTGTATTTATACAGTGGTGGCCAAAATGATTAGAACACTAGTATTTTCAGCAGCTGAAAAATGTTTTTAAATCAGTTATTTCTACCTTTTGTTGTAGTGTGTCAGTAGGAAATATCAGTTTACATTTCCAAACATTCATTTTGCCATTGATTGTAATAATCCAGTGAGATTTTTGTCTGACAACGGCCAGTGCTGATGTCCATAAAAACAGAGCCACTGGTAGAAATCACTGGCAAAAAATAATCCAAAAAACAGAGTCCACAAACACAAAGTAACAGGTGCACAAGGTAACAGAACGCAATACTGAAGCAAACAAGGGCTAACAGAACATGGTTTATATAGGGGAACTACTAAGAGTAATATCACAGCTGGGAACAATAAGAACTAATAGACAGAGCAAAGGGTAATGGGAAATGAAGTCCACAGACAATGGACAATGATCTAGGAGGAGAGCCCTCTAGTGGCTGTCATGGGCACTCCAGCAGATGGCTGTGACATGACCCCCGCTTTAAAGAGCGGACTCCAGATGCTCCAACAAAAGTCAAAGAAATCCAGGAGGGAGGTGGAATGAAGGCGGACAAGGGGGAGGGATGGCACCCCAGGCCGTGTAATGGAAGAGGGCCTGGAGACAGAGGTAGACGAGGAGGCCAGGGTGGGGCAGATAGAGCGGGCAGCCAGGGCGGGGCCGGGAGCTTGACAGGCAGCAAGGGCGGAGCTAAAGACCACCTCAGCGGAGCGGAGCAGGCTCAGGAGCAGACTCCTGGACTGGAATGAGCTCTGAAATGAACTCATAGTCTTGAGCGGACTCTGGAGCAGACTCGTAAAATGGAGCAAGCTCTGGAATTAACTCGTAGACTTGAGTGAGCTCAGGAGTGAACTCATAAACAGGAGCGGACCCTGAGGGCTCCTGGACTGGAGCAGGCTCTGGAGTGAACTCTGAGGGCTCCCAGACTGGAGTGGATTCATGAGTGGACTTTGAGGGCACTTGGGCTGGTGCGGGTTCTGAATTGTATTCTGAGGGCTACTGGACTGGAGCGAGCTCTTGAGTGGACTCAGAAGCTGCCCATGCATGCAGAACAGCCCATAGGTGAAAGGCAAAGGCAGCCTTCTTGATTATTGCAGCAGCGAAATCGGGCAGCTCTATAGGGACCTCTGAGACCAGCGGAGTCTGGTCCTCCTGGACCACCAGAAAAGGGACCCCTGGAGTCAGGTCC